AAGAGAGAGAGAGAGAGGCAGTGGACCCAGCAAGAGCTGAGGATGCTAGAGGTAGGGTAGAGGCTGCAGACTATTCTGGGCTCTAAACACAGTGGTCTCCATCCCCTTCCCCTCAACCAGGGGTGGTGAAGAGGGGTCACTGTGATTCTTCATGGTCCCTGTGCTTTGTTTCTTCCCCTAGAATCCCTTAACACACTGGGCTCTGCCAGCTCTGTACCGGGAATTGGTTCATGGCTTTTTATGCATTCCCTCAATGCGTTTTTCGCCCCAGCTCAAGACCAGTATTATTCACTCCATTTTATAGAGGAGAAAACTGAGGTTTTATAACTTGCTTAAGGTCACACAGGGGTAACAGGCAGATCCTGGACTCAAACCCAAGACTTTTTCTGGAGATGTCAATTTTGCCGGCTATACTGGTTTAGGCTGCTTTCCCCAGGGTGTTTGCCATCCCCATAGCAACAATGAGAGGCCCTCCTGTGCTGACAGCACTTCATAGTTTATGCAGGCCTTATTTTTTCTGCTCCTCACAACAGCCCTGTAGGCAGAGCTGCTATCATCCCTATTTCATAGACAAGGAAACTGAGGCTTAGACAGGGGGTGTGACTTGGCCAAGACTGTTGGGACTCAAACCCAGTTCTGGTGACTCTAAATGTCTTTTTGCTTTCCCTTGCAGAGGAAGAGGGTCTGTTCCCTGCTCTAATCTGCCTCGCAGGGCAGGGAACAAACAGGCAAGGGTTACTTTTCAGAATTGGTGGGAAAGAGACGGGTTTGGTCTTCAGAGCCTGGGACTCGGCTACCGGCAGTGGATAATTTCATCCCACCAGGTGATAACTATAACTGCTTGGGTAGAAGAAGGAGGGCTTACCCTCAAGAGCATTAAGTCCACTCATGTTCAGAGGCTGGGTTCGAATTCCGGCTTTGCTGCTTGCTGACTGGGTGGCCTTGGGCAAGTCATTTAACCTCTTCATGCTTCCGTTGTCTCATTTGTAAAATGATGGTAATGACAGGACATCACTCATAGGACTACTAAGAGGATTTATGAGTTAATGCATGGACAGCACTTAGCATGTGTTTGACACATAGGAAATGCTCAGTGTTAGTGCTTATTAATATCACTATTAAAGTGTTCGGCACCATCCCCTCAGAGAGCATCTTGTCCATGTCCATAAAAGGAGAAACTATGGCTCCTGTTGCCAGACAACCTTCAAGCAAAGCTCCAGAGTCTTACCTAGGACAGGTGGTAATGCGGATATCGACAATAATAATTATTATTAAATTACCAGTGAAGTTACTGTTAGAGTCAATGGCAATACTATTAAAGTTAACATTCAACAGCTGCTTACTGTGTGCCAATCACTGTGCTAAGTGCTTTGCATCTATTATCTCATTTAACTCTCACAGTTCTGGAAGATAAAAACAATTATGATTCCCGTTTTATGGATAAGGAAACTGAGGCTCAGAGAGGTGAAGTCACTTGCTCAAGGTCACACTGCTAGGAAGTGCTGTAGCTGTGATTTGAATCCAGGCTTGCCTGGCTTCAGGGTCTTCCGAAATAATTAAGGTCAGACGACAACTTGCCCAGTGTATAGACGCTTGCATCAGTTCTCTCCCAAACTTATCTGATAGATCTGCTGCCTCAGGCTCACTTCCCTCCATGCTGGGAAGACCGAGCACCTTTTATGGAGTGCCTTCCATGTGCCAGAACACTTTAGACATGTTCCACATTGAATCCTCACCCCCACCCTATGACACTTTATCATTATCCCCATTTCTTAGGAGATGAGGCATAGAGAGGTGTGGTGACGGGGGTCAAGGTCACAACAGTCCCAGGTGAGATGGCAGAGTGAGGATTCAAACCCTGGCTGGCCTCAAAGCTTGCATTCAGGGCCTACCAGAAAAGTACACAGACCCTTGGAAATGAGACCCACTTTCAAAGCCAGGTTCCCTCCCCTGTTAACACCTCATTTGTTTAGGCCCCTGCATGAGCTCTGCCCTCCCTCTCCATTGCCACCTATCCCAATTGGCCTGAATGCCTTCCACACCCTTTCTCTTGGCCTGCAACACTTCTTCCAAACACCTGCTGCCTAGTTAACCCCCATTCACCAACTCACCCTGAGATATCACCTCTTCAGGGAGCCTCCTCTGGCCCCACCCCATCCTGACATTCACTCTCATAATAAACACCTTGTACTTTGCCTTCTTGTTCACTATCATAGTTTCTAACTCTCTTTTGTCTGGTCATTTGTTTTATGACTTACTTCCTCGCTAAACTCTAAGCTCCATGTAGGTCTGTCTGTTTTGCCCACCACTGTACTGCACCACTGGCAGGCTGCCTATCCATAGTCAGTCCTTAATTTTTTTTTTTTTTTTTTAAGTAAACCCTACACCCAACATGGGTCTCGAACTCACTGACTCTGAGATCGAGTCATATGTTCTACTGACTGAGCCAGCCACGCGCCCTGGTGCTTAATAATTTTTTTATTGAATAGATGAATCCATGAATGAATAGATAGCTACCAGGTACTTTGCTCACATGACTCATTCATTCCACAATTAACTCACTGAATCCTCCCAACTGCCCTGTTGTCCCCATTTAATTTTTAATTTTTTTTAAAGATCTTATTTATTTATTTGACAGACAAAGAGAGAGAGAGAGGGGACACAAGCAGAGGGAGTGGGAGAGGGAGAAGCAGGCTTCCCACTGAGCAGGGAGCCGGATGTGGGGCTTGATCCCAGGACTCTGGGATCATGACCTGAGCCAAAGGCAGACGCTTAACTGACTGAGCCACCCAGGCGCCCCTGTCCCCATTTTAGAGAAGACATAGGTGAGGCTCAGAGAGCTAGAAAGTGGTGGAGCTTGGATTCAATTTCAGGTCAGGCTGACCCAAAGCCACCGACTTCTGCACAGCACCTGCTGCCTCGCAGCACCCAATGGCCACAGTCACAATTTAAATAGTCATTGGTTGTCAGACCACACGTCCCAGTTTGAGCCTGGAGGCCACGGACTCAGCCAGCACTGAGGCTCTTTCAGCACCACGCACTTGGTGGTCTCTACCCTTCTAAAGTCTTAGGCTGCTCCCCCTCCCACTCCCATCTTGGCCTCCTTCCTTTCCAGAGAGGGAAAGGACTAGGAATTACAGCCAAGGCAGCCCTTCTGGGAAAAACAATCCTGCAATGAAAAGAGCCCTGTTCTGAGAGCAGACAGACCTGGATTTAAGTCTTGGCATAGAGGCTGCCCTGCTGAGGGCCCACAATGGTGTCACTGCCCCCTCTCTGTCCTTGTTTAGGATTCTGTCTGGGTTGCTGACCCACCTGTCATCCCCTACTCACCTCCTGATTCCTAGGACCCTAGAAACATCTGGGGCCTATGGTGACCAGAGAGAGGGGAACTGGCCTGGCACTCTCGAGACACTCCCTGGAATGCTAAAGGGTTGGTGGAGGAACGTCTTTCTCAGGGGACACCAGGCCTGGAAGGAGAAATACAGAAATGGAAGACAAAAGATACAAGTTTGAGTCCTAGGGTTGTTTCAAATTCCCTGGGTGACCCAGGGTAAGTCCTGAAGTTTTCAATTTTCTTTCCTGCAAAACGAGGACAATATCCGCCTTACAGAGTTGATCTAGAGAACTAAATGAGAGATCTTCGCTAACTTGTGAATCTGTCATATGGTATCCAGCTGCAGCCTTTTATAATCGACAAGACGCACATATACCCAACTCAGGCATGCAGCCTCAACAAACGCGCCAGGACATAAGGCGGACATGACTGGTCCTATTCTGCAGAAGGACAAAACTGAGACCCAGATAAGTTCAGGAAGTCGTCTGAGGTCGCAGAATTAGGGGGCGGCTGACCACGGTCTCGGCTCACCTGACCCTGGCCTGTCAGAACCAGCTCCCAGTCCCAGGACCCCAGACCTCGCCCCGGAAGAATCATTTAGCGGCTGACTGGAGCCGATGACTCACTCTCCCCACCCTACTTTCGGTCGGGCCCGAGACCCGGAGAGGAGAGGCAAAACTATCTGCAACTTGAGGGGTGTCCATAGAAAGTTCATGGTTTTGGCCCCTTCCTTCCACCAAAAATCCTGGTTCTTTGAACTCTAACAAGAAGAATTCATCTTTGAATACACTTTGTACGAGTTTTTACACTTTCTTAGGTGGGATTTTCCTACCTTGAATTCAGGCGTTGATTCAGTTTAATCTCCACCCCCACTTCACTTGGTTTGCCCTCCCGCTGTTTACTCCGATTGCGGAAGTAGCTCGGGTGGAGCGCCCCAGTCGGTATCTTTGAGTACGTCTTTTGCGTAGCTATTTAACTGGCACTCCACTCAGGCCAATGGGATGCCCGAAAGCCCCAGGAGGGTGGGGCAGAGAGCCAATCAGGGCCGTTGGCGGGGTGTGGCTGCGTCCCAGGGAGGGAAATCGCGTAATGGCGGACGCGGGCCGGGTGAACGCGGCTGGGGGCGTAGCGCGCTGAGGGGGGTCTGGCTGTGTGGCATCCCCGGAGGCGGCCCGCGGGAACAGGCCCCGTGCGGGGAAGGGCGGCTGGCCGGCCCATCTGTCGCTGAGGGCGACCGTGCGAGACCAGGTGAGCAACAAGTCCCCGCGGGCGGGCCCCACCGTGAGGCGCCGGCCCGACCGCGCCTCCACGCCCGGAGCCTCGCGGGGTCCCGGGGGAGTGGGTGGCGCGCCTCCTGCGGCGGATGGGCAGTGCCCGGTCGAGCGGTCAGCGCGGGGTGGCCTCTTACTCTACACTCCCCTCCCCAGGGAGGAGGAGGTGTCCTGGAGATCCCCTCGGAGACTTGGAGGGGCCGGCGAATCTGTGAGGCTGCGAAAGTGCCCCCAACCTGACCTGGCGCTGCCACTCACTCGCTGTGTGACCTTGGGCAAGTCACTTCCCTTTCTGGGCCTCGTTTCCCTATTTGTAAAACGAAGGCTTTGCAGGCAGTTGTACATGAGTTGGATCTCAGATATTCTCGGAGGCCTTGGGCAAGTTCTTCTCCAGGCGGAGCTTCAATTTCCATCTCTCGGCCATGAAGGAATTGTAGTGCTCTTTGAGATCCCTGGCCTGCTAAGTTGAGGAGTGGCCGAGAGGACTGTGTGCACGTACGTGTGTGTGTATGTATGTAATATATGGGTACGGGATGGTTCTGCAGGGCTAGAGTTGGCTAAAGTTCCATGAAGGCTGGGTGGATCCCAGACTATGATGAGGTGGACTGCGGTTGTCTTGGTCCTCCAGGATCCTAGAGCCTCTGAGATGGCAAAGTTTTATATACTGGTGCTCCATAGCATCAGAGGAGAGGAAAGCATCCTTGGAACCTCTTGGGGCAATGATTGAAATTTAGGCCCGAAAGAATTCAGGAGGGTTAGGAGTAGGAGGGGGAGCATTTATGGTGCTCCTACTATGTGCCAGCCCTTATTTAGGCTTATGTTCTTACTTAATTTTTACAGCCGCTGTTGGGAATTTACACATAAGGAAACTTGAGTTTCAGAGAAATTAAGTAACTTGTCCAAGGTCACACGGTGAGGTACAGAGCTTAACAACCGTAAGGTGGTTTCCTTTGAGAATCACTAGACAAGGGGGGAGTCATTGTCCACTGAAAAGAAGTTTGCTTTGTCACAAACGGGGGGAAGGGTCTGGTCCCAGACACTTGCATTGACCTCTGGCATGGAGACAGGCTGGACCTTGATCTCTGGATGGCTAATGATAAGTGCATTCCCTTTCTTCAGTCTGTGACTTGGAAAGGACCATTTCTAAATGGTAAAAGTTACTTTGAAGTATGTCAGAACCTCAAAGAACTCAGTTTGAATTCTGACTGGGTGACTTGTAGAAGTTCACCAACTGTTGGTGTATAGACTTGACTCTTAGTTCAGAGGGGTGCCAGCCCAGTAACTTTTTCTTCTCCCTAAGAAGGCTAAATTTTCTTGGGACAAGAGAAATTTCCCACTTGTTCAAATTTCTTTGGATTCCTGGAATGAAAGTTTCAGTATCCTGCCTCTGATGAAGTATAATGTTCCTTCCTTTCTTTGTGTTCCCTGTTATCTGACTTGTAGATGAGTGAAGATTGTGGACCTGGAGTCCGAGACTGGTAGTTGGATACAATAAATTGTAGCCCTTGATTTTTCCAAGCCTCAGCTTTTGGTTAATCAAAATGGTAGGACCTGCAGTGTGTATTGTTCTCATATGTCAATGGTAGGGAAGAAAATTGGAAGAGGAAGTTGCTGAGAAAGAGGGCGTTTCTTAGCAGTGGAGCCAATATGTATTTCTTTGTTTGAAATTCTAAAACCAGAAAAGCAGCAACTGAAGGAGGAAGGAAGGAAAGAACTGTGAAACTCTTCCTCCAGGTCAAATATCTTTAAGAGCTGTTCCTGTTGCTGTCCCTGTCCGAGGCCCTACTTTCACAGAAAAAGTCAATTGTAATTTGTTCAAAGTTGAGAAATTGTATTCTAGAATAATACCTTTATTTTTTATTTATTTTTAATCTTTATTTATTTATTTGAGATAGAGCACAAACCAGAGGGAGCAGCAGGCTCTCCCTGCTGAGCAAGGAGCCTGATGCGGGACTCGGGACTCCATTCCAGGACCCTGAGATCATGACCCGAGCCCAAGGCTGAGGCTTAACCGACTGAGCCACCCAGGCGTCCCTAGAATGATGATTTTAGATATGCAGCCCTCTGAGATAAATTTCTTAAAAATCAGAACATTTTACTGAGTTTGTTATTTACCAGTGGATGATTCTTTTTCTCAACTTAATTGCCAGTTGCAGTCTTTGGCCTATCTTAACTGTGATATAAGTTAGTGAATTTCAACCTAAGAAGAATTGATCTAGCTACTGGATGATGCAGATACCACCATCACTTGAAAAAACACATAATGGTGTGTTTGAGTTTTGACATTTGTTAAAAGTTTTTAATGCTTCGTTTTACAGGATTGTGTATGTGTGAATAGTTGTTAAGGCATTGAATTTATTTTATCTGAAGATCTACCTTCATTCTCTTTATTAGTTATATTTTCTGTATAAGACAGACTTAATTAGCATACCAGTCCATAGTACCTTGGGGCCAAAAAAAACAAAAACAAAAACACAGCACATCAGTTCTTGGGACCAGATGTTTTTTGAATATAGAACTTTTGGGATTTTAGAAAAGGAATATGGTACATGTACTGTGTGTTATGTAACATCCCGGAGAGGTGAGGGGCAGCACCTTGTAATCAAACACATTACCATTTCTATAGTAAATGTTCACACCAACTGGTATAAGTGAATACTATAAATAGCTTCATGTCATTTCATGTTGCGTTTTGCTACCAAATGAATAATGAAAAACTTATTTTTACAGCCTTTTAGATTTTGGAATTGAAGTTAAGGGATTGTGGATAAATGGGTAAAACTTATATGAGTCCATATAAGTTTGGATAAAAGTTATATGATGACAAGGACAATTACAAGGAAAAATATTGTAAACCAAACTAATTTCAAAGCTGTGGGTCCTAAAAACAGTAGTACATGGAAGACACTTTTTGTTCATGTGCTTCTTTCACGTAATTGTCTTATTATAATTAATACGTGCCGATGTACATTTTTCTTTTAAGTACCCAAATTTACTTTTTTTTTTTTTAAGATTTTATTTATTTTATTTGACAGAGAGAGGGAACACAAGCAGGGGGAGAGGGAGAAGCAGGCTTCCTGCTGAACAGGACGCCCGATGCGGGGCTCCATCCCAGGACCCTGGGATCATGACCTGAGCCGAAGGCAGACACTTAACAACTGAGCCACCCAGGCGTCCCTCAAATTTACCTTTTAATACCCTCCTTCTTCCCTTTTTTAGATCTTTGAATGGCACCCTACCCTTCTTTTTAATTTTAATTTTAATTTTAATTTATTTTTATTTTTATTTTTTCCCACACATCTTTTTAAAAAAGTAATTTATAGGGTCTTGTGCTCACCAGTTTTTGTGTAACAATTAAGAGAATTATACCTTTGGGGCACGTGGGTGGCTTAGTCGTTAAGCCTCTGCCTTTGGCTTGGGTCATGATCCCCGGGTCCTGGGATCGAGCCCCACATCGGGCTCCCTGCTTGGCGGGAAGCCTGCTTCTCCCTCTCCCACTCCCCCTGCTTGTGTTCCCTCTCTCGCTGTATCTCTGTCAAATAAATAAATAAAATCTTAAAAAAAAAATTATACCTTTTTCTGTATAATTCAGAGAAAGACTAATCAGGTGAGGATCTGTAGATTTGTTTGCAGATATTAAAGCTCATTCTGTCTTCAGGGTGGTCTTTAGTATGAGGTCATCATCACTGCTGGGTAGGATTTAGGTTGAAAAAATATTTATTTATTTATTTATTTTAAAGTAAGCTCTGTGCCCAATGTGGGGCTTGAATTCACAACCCCAAGATCAAGAGTTGCATCCTCTACCGACTGAAAAGTTTTTAATTTTGGGACGCCTAGCTGGCTCAGTCAGTAGAGCATGTGATGCTTGATCTTGAGAGTGTGAGTTCAAGCCCCATTTTGGGGGTAGAGTTTACTTAACAATATTTTTTATTTTTAATTTTTGAAGTTTCCACAGTTTGAATATCTTGGTAAGGAGTTTACTAAAATATATTTAATTTAGAGTATTTTTATTTTAAGTGTATGTTATATGAGAAATTTGAATTTACCAGCCTTATGAATTTGGGTAATTTCTTTAAATGGCCAGGTCCTCTAGGAGCAAATTAAAAAAACTGTGTTCTTTACTCTTCTTGGGCACTTCAGCTATAGAGTGAGGTAGACTGGTGGTGTTGGAGGTGAAAGAATTATTTCTTCTCTTTAAAAGAGGCCCCATGGGAAACCTTGGTTGAGCGTCTGCCTTCGGCTTGGGTCATGATCCCAGGATCCTGGGATAGAGTCCCACATTGGGCTCCTTGTTCACGGGGAAGGCTGCTTCTCCCTCTGCCCCTCCCTCTGCTTGTGCTCGCTCTCTCT